AAACAAAAATTGCTGTTTTAAAGAAGAGTAGTATAACCACATTAAATATAACCTGGAAAATAAGAGGAAAAAAACCCTACTCTTAATTTCACCAAACAGACTTGCTGATAGAATTTTTACATAACTGGTTGTTTTAAAATTTGTGATTATGTTGTTAAAATTATGCATCCTGCCATTCCCTACTTAATGTGTCACTTCACTGTATGATTATTACTTTAAATGCCTGTATAATAATCTATTAGTTGCAGAAACGTTTGGCCCTATTGTATGCAATATGTTTGTATTTATGAAGAAGAGTGAGTGGTACATTTGTTTCTAAAAAGTACGATTCTTAAGAAAAAAGTTATTCTGATAAAACATAATTGCTTATCATATCAATTTTAGTAAGTAGGAGAACGATAACCTGAGTGTAAGGTCAGTACCTTTTTCTTTTCAGATATATTAACCTGAAACTTGAGGAAGCTGGTCATCAGTTGAGAGTAATATACCAGATGTCAGTTATGTATTTTGGAGAAGTTATAAACACAAGTTAGAGAGCTACTTATTTGGAGAATTATTGTCATAATTCTTAATGTTAGCGTTGTGTTCTTTTACAGATTATGCAGCTTTGTGGTGCAAAAAGACTTGGTTATTTTGGAAGAAGTCAGTTTTATATTGCTTTGAAACTCGTAGCTGTTGCCCAGTCTGGTTTCCCTTTAAGAGTGGAAAGTATAAATACAGGTAAGTGTGGAATATATAAGTAACTGAAATGAAAATGGACTTCTAATCACAAATGAAGTAGAACTGTTGAGTCTTTCTGATTTTAGTGGCATTTGTGACCTTGAGTAAAGTGTCATGATTATTCTCACTACCATGCTTTTTCTATTTGTGAACATTAGAAAAATATATCTACCTTAAATCTGTAAGGGCATATATGTACTTCATACATATTTGATGGTAATATAAAAACTGCTAAAATGGTGATTTTAAAAAAATAATTCACTAAAAATTGCTTAGAAAGAATTTAGATGAATAATTTTATAAAGGTAAACAATGAATTGTAGTGACCATCTTCATATGTGCTTTTCTTACATTCTTTTCTACTAAGTTTAAAACATGCCTTGTGTTTTCCTATTTGGAAAGGCTATGAAAGCTCCACTTGAAATTGTAAAGTTTTAGTTAATCAAAACTTTGTTAGAGACAGTATTAAAATATTGGCAGGCTAAAACCTAAATACAAGCATCTGACTGCCTTACAAGTGTCACCTAAGATAATTTGTTTTTCTATTATTTGGAGGCTTGTTGATGCCTGAATAGATGGAAATTCTATAAAGGTAGGCACTTAAATGTAGAATTCTGTGGTTTTCATAGGGAAAGAGGGCAAGAGAAGACTTGGTTTTCTGTAATGTTAGAATTTTTAAAAAATAATTTTAAGTACCAGCCCAGTGTATTAGTCAGCCAGACCTCTGGTTTACCACACATCATTGTTCTAGAGTTGAGAGTTTATATTCTTTTTAGGTAATTTTGACCTTTACATAAATACTGACTAAGCATAATACCTTCCCTTCTTAGTGTGGAGATTCTAAAGAGAAATGCAAGTAATCATGGTAGAGGGAAGTACACTTTATAAATGATTCTGCTCCTGTATTGTTCAAGTCTGAAAGTATGCAGAGGAGTTCTCAGTCTTTTATCTTTCTTCTCTGTTTAAAATTGAATGTGGAATATCTACGTGGTAGACTAAAGTGGGTAGGTATAACTAATGTCTTGTCTTGTGACCTTGGTAGGTGAATAATAAGATATTTTCAGGAATTTCTGCAATGAAAATGTTTAGACTGATCTAGTCTCAGACTTAGTAACATATTCTTGTTTTGCTTAGAGCTTTGACTTCCTCCTTTAGAGAACTCATGTGAGTAGAAATAACCTAGACTTCAAGATCAGACTGACCTTCGTGCAGATCCTAATTGACCTCGGCATCTCAGAGCCTCAGTTTCTTTATCTGTAAAATGGGAACTTTGCAAGATTGCTACGGTTATGAGATTAGCTAAATATAGAGTACAATCATATGGCAAGGCATGCAGTGAACATTTAATATAGCTGTTGTTGTAACCCCCTAGAAGGGCAATTTGGTGTTACTACTTCTTTCTAGGTTAGTCTTCATGAACAGTCTAAGGGACATGATCTCAGTTGCTTAGTGGCATTTTGTATCTGTTGTTTCTGTATCAGTCTTTGCAAAAATTTTTTCTAACATTAAATCCATCTCTTATTTCAATTTTTAATGGGTATGCCCCTTTTTAAAGTAAAAATTATTTTATTTTAATAATAATTATTTTAAAGTAATAATTATTTTTGTGGTTAACAGTAAAGGACCTTCCTCTGCCAAGATTTGTTGCTTCAAAGAATGAACAGGAATCTCGCCATGCAGCCTCGTATTCTTCAGATTCTGAAAATCAAGGGTCTTATTCTGGTGTAATTCCCCCACCACCTGGCAGGGGGCAAGTGAAAAAGGGATCCATAAGCCATGATACTGTCCAGCCTCGTACATCTGCAGATCAACAGGTATCATGTGCATGTAATTGTTGTCATTTGAGGTCCTATGTGGATGCTTAACACTGAAACATTACTGAGTGCCTTAGTAATGAAAATGTTACCTTCAGATTTAAACTTTAAAATAATGACGTTCTTTCTAGGAACCTGCATCCCCAGTAGTTTCACCGCAGCAGTCTCCACCAGCTTCCCCACACACATGGAGGAAGCACAGCCGTCATCCCAGTGGGGGAAACAGTGAGAGGCCTCTTGCAGGACCGGGGCCATTTTGGGCTCCCTTTGGTGAAGCACAGTCAGGTATTTAGAAATTCTTTAAAAGTAACAACTATTTATTAAGGGTTGTAAGTTGAAGGAAATTTGCTAATGTCCATTTAAGAGTTGCCTCCAAGTCCATTTTTAATTATAAGTTAAGTACCTTCAATAGAAGCAAAAGCTGACTGTGAAAATTTGTAAGTGGATATAACACTTTGAAGGGTGATTACATTTACTTACATCTATGATGCTTAGACAGAAGTTTAGAGACATCAGATTCTCTGGAGGCAAAATGAATAAATAATTATTTCCCAGAGTATATATTCCCAGATAGTAGTATATTAGTGAAGGAAAGTACACTTTGTTGTAAAAACGATTCTGCTGCTGTATTGCTTATTACAGCAATAAATTGGTTATTATACCAAATGAGGTACGCTTTTAAACTGACAGAGAAGATTCCAATTTGGAAATTGTTAACATTTCTTCAAAGTTAGAGTTTAAAAGAAAACTCTGTGTATGGTGATTTGTTATAATTAAAAGTCTGGTAACTTTATTTTTTTCTCCAAACGTGAGCCAGCATGTTTACCCATCCTGCTTTCAGGTTCTTCTGCTGGTGATGCAGTGTGGTCAGGGCATTCTCCACCTCCACCTCAAGAAAACTGGGTCAGTTTTGCAGATACTCCACCAACCAGTACTCTTTTAACCATGCATCCTGCTTCTGTCCAGGTGTGACATTTTATTGGTATTGCATTTTTATTTGCTTCATTCAAAGTATTGCTGCAGTCATTGCTTTTATATTTTGCTGTTGCAGATTTTATAAATGCAAGTTCACTCTTTTATAAAAAAAAGCAGAACTCTGCTCTGTGCCTTTTCTTCAAGTCGTTTTCATTGGAATGTTTCACAAAGTTCTGGCTGATTTTCTTTCTAATTCCATAGTGAAGTTTGAAAGGTTTCTGCATATAGGGATATATTTGCTTGGCTTTCTTAGCACATTTTACATAACTTTCTGTTGCTTACATATTGCTGTCATGCTACACATTTATATAATCACTGTGCAAAAACATTTAATAACCCATGTAACAAATATGTGGTTTGCTGTTGAGTTTGTGACGACTTCCTATGTTTTAAAAATCCACAAAAAGTAAGTTTTACTTTCAAAAATATGTAACTGAGCAATCTTGGTCCGTATAATCATGTAGACAGATACTGTACTGAGGAAAAAATGTTTCATTACAGGACCAGACAACAGTACGAACTGTAGCATCAGCTACAACTGCCAATGAAATTCGTAGGCAATCCAGTAGTTATGATGATCCCTGGAAAATAACAGATGAACAAAGACAGTATTATGTAAATCAGTTTAAAACCATTCAGCCTGATCTAAATGGATTTATTCCAGGTGAGTTGTTAAAAACAGAAATTCTTAGAGGGGATAGGACAATCTCAATTTCATACTCTCAAAGACGTGGTTTTATTGGTCAGAGATTATAAAAGATAAATTCTCAAATTGTTTGTCTAAAAACTTTGTGATCACTGGACACCAAAAACATGACATACATACATGTTATGGTTACCTTTTTCTCAGTGAAAAAAGTCTTAAGACTTATCTCAGATTTTATTCTTGGAGCTAAAAGTTCAGAATAACACTAAACAACACTGTTTTACTATTTCAGGATCTGCAGCTAAAGAATTTTTTACAAAATCAAAACTTCCTATTCTTGAACTTTCTCATATTTGGTAAGTGTGGTATATCATTAGTTGGGTAATGTGGGTTGTTTCAAATGAGTCTCCAGCAGGTCGATTTTTGAACTTTAAAAAATAAACTATTAGAATAACCTTTTCAACAGTGTTCTCAAAGAACTCAGTATTGCCAGGGGGCAGCTTCTCTCTCACTCTTTAGAGAAGAAATGTGATACCACTACAGTAGTTCCTTAAAATGTGCTAAAATTCTTTAAGCTGTATCAGCTACTTCTTGCCGCTATCATAATGCTTGGAATAAAAGTTAGTTGGTTCATACATGTTTATGTTTAACCCATTTGGTTTTTAACAAGTTTAGTAAGTCTTGTACCAAGACATGAGCCTAAGAACGTGCTTATTTAGCTCCCATTTAAATATAAACTAAGACTCAGGATAGTTGCTGTGTAGTTGAAATTAGCCATTAAAACACAAATTATAATCGCAAATTACTTTTGAAAGCAATTATAAGATAAGTAAATGTTATTTTTACTGTATATCAATATATTTTTCTAGTTTCTAAGTTATGTTGTTAGTAGGGTTTTTAGTAGCATAGAATGCTGTGGTAGGGACAGGTGGGTAATGCCTAAAACTGAACAATGAAGAGCTAGCAATATATTCATGCTGTTTATATTGTTTAAGGCAATCAATTAAAAGTAGTTGCTTCTGCAGCCAGGAAGTGAAGGGACAGCAGGGTGGGGCTGCTGGTTTTTGTATCAAGCCTTGCAATTACTTTGGATGCATTAAAATGCACACATGTATAATTTTGATAACAATACAAACCAAGTTTTTAAAAATTTCAATGACATATATTAACTAAGCCTGTGTTTAACTAAATCCTGTTACTAAAAATGCATATGGGTTAAAGATCATTTTTTGGTAACTTTATTTATTGGGGCTGTTTTTCAGCATTTTCGCGTAAGAATTCAAAGCATACAGAAAAGTTTAAAGAATTGTGCCTTGAACACCCATACGCCCACTGTCTAGATTCCCCAGTTAACAGTTTGCTATATTGTTTTAACATACATCTTTCCATCATGGAATTTTTTAAATTATTGATTGTTATTTTCTGGGAAAGGATTTCTCTTGCTTTTTTTGACACCTAAAGGGAGCCAAAGCATAATATGATTATATTAATAATAAGTTTATCTTCTAGGGAACTCTCAGACTTTGATAAAGATGGAGCCTTGACACTGGATGAGTTTTGTGCTGCTTTTCATCTGGTAGTTGCTAGAAAGAATGGCTATGACTTACCAGAAAAACTCCCTGAAAGCTTAATGCCCAAACTGATTGATTTGGAAGATTCAGCAGGTAAGATCAGGAGCTGGAGACCTGATTGTGTGCTTTCATAAACATAACACTTGATTCATAAAGCAAAATAAGACAGGTATTAAAACTTAGTTTGAGAGCTTAGATGTTGCATCAGGAGCACGTAGACTTGCCATCAGAATAAGATGTACAGGCTGAACTTTGATTAGTGGTTTGGCTTATTTAGTTAACTTTAAACAAAGAGACAAAGAATAATGCCACTATTTCTCTTTACACATATAACTTGCAGAGATCCAAAGAGCATTTCACAGTGTCTGGTTATTTTGCTACCCTTTAATTGTATTATAGATTATATGAAGTGGGTAAAGTATCTTGTCTTCATTATCAGCATTTTTCCATTTAATGCATCTTAATTTGTTGAAGGGAATGCCCAGTTTATCATTAGATCTTTGCAGTCTATAAGCATTTTCTTTTTAAAAAATCAAGCTTTTTTCTTCAGACTCTAAAGAAATCTGGAAAGTTTGTGTTTGTAGATAATGCTTTTTTGTATGTTTATAAGAATACTTTTGTAAATACTCGTATTTACTAGTAGCTTTCTTTGAAAGGAAACAAGAATGTAGGGGTAAAAATGAGTATTTTTCTTCAATTCTCAATGAGTAAAAAAAATCGAATGTTAAATTCTTAGTGAGTCTAATTAAAACTGAATTACTGTTTTCAATTTTCCTATCTAAATTCTCTTTTGTATTTTATGATGGAAAGAATTTTACACTTTTAAAGAGAGAAGTTAGAATTTGACTTTCAAAGGGGCAACGTCTGTTTAACTCAGAAATGCAAATGGATCTGACTTTATTAACTAAATTATACAGAAGGAACCGTACATAAAATCATTACTGTCATGAAGAGAACAGTCTCCTTCAGGTTCAGAATCTGAGTGTGCTTCTCGTTTTGCTGATTTCTCCTGTGACCTTGGGCAAGTTCTAACCATGTATTTTTTCCTTCTGTTTCTCCACCTGAAATGTGGATTTGATGCCATTCATAGTTCAAGACTTGAATTATATGCTGGCCTTTTGTCAGCCAATAAATAATTGATCAAATAATTTACTGCTGATTTTAGTTTTTTAGAAATACTATCCTATGAGAGCCCTAGGATTTTCCTAATTACTTCAGGTAGTTATTTGGCATCTGTTAGCGTCTCACTTGAGCTAAAAGCTAAGTATTTTTGTTAGATAATTTTGCTTCAGGGCTCTTTGGTTTACCTAATTAAGAAATAAACAAAAGTGACTTCTTTGTTTAGCTTATTTGATAGCCAAAAGGGAAGCAATTGTGGTAGCTACAGACTTACCTTGACATATCATTGATTTATAAATTGAGCCTTGTATGTAAGATTTTTCTATGACTTTAATTTTTTTTTGACTGATAGCATACTAAAACAAGAAATAAGTCAAGCTTACTCTGCTGTGTGTCATTTTCTAGAGACTTGTCTGATTTTGTTACCCGTTGTATTCAAATAGGTGAATCTGGCTTTTGCATTTTTCTTTCTTTAGTTTAAATAAAATCTGGTTCTTTGTAATCTTGATCTACTGATGGAATTTTAAGCCTGATGATTCAAGAAGTTCTTTCTACCTGTTAGATCTGTTTAGCAAAGAGACACTCTGGTTTTTTGCCTAAGTGTATCTGTGCATTATTGCTCCAACTATAATTTTAAAAATGTCAAAGACTTAAATAGTTTTTTCCAATTCCAACAGAATATTATATGATTTTCCAGTGAAATTTATTGTAAACGTTTTGACCACACAATATTAGATTAAAATCTGCTTGGTATACTTATAAATTGATAAATTTGGAGTCCTATTTTGAGGTGAGAGAGAACCATTTAATCTTTTTTCTCTTATCTATCATAAGCCTGAGATTCATGTGACACAAAGTCCTTTGAATATAGAAATTATCATGTGACACTATGGATCAGTCAGTATCCTTACAAACCATTTTAAAATAGCTATGTTTTTAGAAGTTCACAGTTAAAAGAGAAATACCCAGTTTCTTTGGCTGACCTGAGAACTTATGATAAATATCCCTTCTATGGAGCCTTTGTGACTTACATGCAAAGGTGATTTTTGTCTTCTTTGATCTCTCACAGCATCTCCTACGTGCTGTTCATTATGGCACATGTTACACTGAATCCTGTTCCTTTTTTTCCTCTTCGTGGCACAACACTCTGAGCTCCTTAAAAAATAGGAAATATATCATATTCATCATTGTATCCTTGGGACCTAGCACTTTACCAGGCATGTACCAAGTCCTCAGTAAATAATTATTGAGTGAATTATGCTAAATGTGTACCACTTTAAAAGTAGGATATTTTTCTTAACATATTTCTGTCTTTGAAAATACAATTGTTTATTATCATGTTTGTGATGTGGGGGCATATTAAAATATTAGCCTTACAAGTATTCTGTATTTATAATTTAAATAATTCTTACAGAAAAATGGATGATGAATAGTGGTGACTTGAGTTACAGTTGTTTGAAGTAACAAGCTAAGCTTTCTACAAGCATGCAGACATAGGTGGGGTGTATGGGTGTTTTCTTCAAAATCATTTGAACAGGTTTATAGGATTAAATACCAAATAAAACAGCACAACTAAGGATCATAGGTAGAAATGCTTATGTGGATCTGAGTTAAAATATTTAACATTGAACATCACTGAATTTGGCAGCTAGAGTAAATAAAAAAGGAAAACTTGGCTTTTGTCTTAGAAAAGAAAGCATACAAAAATTAACTGTGGAAACAGCTTTCTGAAGCTGAATTCAAGAAAAAATGGTCATGTTTTAGTAATGATTATCTTCTATTAAAAAAAAAAAAGATTAAGATGACCTGCTAGCCTACCACAATACTGTATCTTAAAGGGGAAAAAAAAAAAAGCATGTTGAGATGTTATACATCTTAAACTCAGTCTCCAAAGAATCTTCTTGTTAGTCCATTTGCAGTTTTACATATATTTTTGTTGTGATTATTTGATAAATCTCTCTCTCTCTCTCTTAAACTAGATTAGAGGCCTGGGCAGGTAGTAACCAACTCGATCTTGTTCATTACATCTCAGCACCTAGCAGGGTGCAAACTGAGTACAGAAGTAGGCGTTCACATTTTTGAAATGACTAAGCAGTTGAACCACTTGTTTTTTAAAACTGTTTCCTATCTTCACACCACACTGCTCACATAAGCACCTCAGTAGTATCTGGTTGAGATACTCAAAGAGGGAAAGCAACGTGTTCACTGTTCTTTTTCCTCCTCCACAATCACTGCTTTACACAGTCCATTTGAGCATGTTTCCTTGTTGATGTGGTGCATTGCATAGATACCTAAGCTCCTAGTGGTTACTTGTAACATGAATATGTTTAAAAGCCAGAGACTTTTTATTTGTGAATAGTTTGCCAAAAATTGATACTTGAGACTAGCTTGTTGTGAATTAATCACTGCCAAGAGTTTCTCTTGTATTCATCTAAAAAATGTGAACATATGAAAGCCTACAGAAATAACACATACAGATACCTGTTTTCACACAAGTAGAATCACACTATACCTCTTGATTTTTTTTTTTTTTTTGGTGATGTTGGACATCTCTGCGTTTTGTCACATTTAGAGCTGTCACATTCTTTATCATACAAGGTATTCTGTAATATGGATGTGCCTTAATTTAACCAGTTTCTTTTTGATGAAATTTTCAAGTAGTCTCCTGACTTTGTCTTTTAAATGGTGCTGCAAAAAACGGATACATGAATCTTTGTTTTGGAAAATTTACTCTCCAAATGCCTTTAGTTGCAGGGGAAAAAATAATGAAAATAGGCATTAATATTTGTCACTAACTTTATACTTAAGGAATTACTTCTCAAGTCCCTCTTCCCGCCCCATACACACATGTGTACATTCTTAACACTGGTGTCATTTCTTTTCAGATAGTCAGGTGTTTGATCTGTTGAATCAGTACCATTGCAGATATTGGCAGAGATGCACCATTTAATGAAATTGGACAAAATAATTAGAACTCCTCAAATTCCTGGCAAAGATGTTAACAAACACGGCTAGCTAATACACAAAGGAGAAAACCTGTGCAAGAATGACACAATAGGGGCTTTAAAGGATTATAGTTTAGATATCAGCGGATTAATTAGAGTCCTTGGGAATATTTAATGATACCTTTAGTTGTATTTTTGCAGAAATGAGCTTTTTGTCTTTACGATTGTGTTGTGAAAGTCAAAAATGAAGTGAAGGATGTCTGTCTTGCTCTATTAGGAAGAGAACTCGCTGGAAATAAACAGAGCCTTGTCTTTTTGCTCAATACTGTTATCTTTGTTTACTGTATTTATTTACAGGCTTTCAATAAATGTTCACTGACTGAATTCATGCTTTTATTAATTTTACCACCAAGTTTTATCCAAAATTTTTAACATCTTTTATTCTTTTTCTTTATACTCATTTTTTGTGTAAGTTTTCAAGATAAAGCCCCAAATTGTTTTTTCTCTTTATGATATTTTAGTCCTCATTTTAAGTGAATTAACTTTAAATGGGCTTTTTACATCTTGAAGTATCCTTGGATAATGGAAACCTATATATCTGTAGGTAGTATTCTTTGAAGTGTAATAGCTGAGTCAAATAATATTTGCTATAAAATGTTGATCAGTATACTGCAAAAAAAAAAGGTCAACAGGTACAGTTCTATTAGTATTGTGGGTAAATGTTTTGTTTCTTTTCAAACTTTGTTGGACATGTTTTTACTTTTTTTTTTTCAGTCTTTGATTTTCATTTAAAACTGATCAATTTCTATATAGTCCTCCTTAAGGTTTGCTTACTGAGTAAGTTTCCATTTTGTGGAGTATTGGGGAGAAGGGGAATTTTAGAAATAGAACATAGTTTTTTTATCCATATAGTATCACTTAACACAAAGCATATCTTAAATTAAGGCTTTAATTTTTTTCTACATATGCATTGCTTATCCCTGTCTTTTAAGTATGAATGAAAAGGATACCATTTATAGTTTTCCTAGAAGACTTACAATTTATCCAAACCTGTTTGTTTTTTTATTTTAAATATTTTTTCTTGTAAGAATAATACTCACATCTCAAATAAATAAAAGATGTAGTTACTTTTGCTTTGGTGAAGCTATTAAATGATATTAAAACCTTGAACTTTCATGATTGAAGAATTCTTTCTAGATTTGTTTTGCTATTTGAAAGGAAAATGGTTTAAACCATAAGACTTTAGGGAATGTATAGATTTCTATCAGATTAATAACAGCTGGCAGTCATTTTTGAAACAATTTTTTAGTATACTGAGTGCAATACTAAGAAAATAAGAGAAATTTGGGATGGGTAGATTATAAATCTAAAATAAAACAAGCTTTTTAAGGAAGAGGTTGTTCAGCAGATACACTGAACTGAACTGTATCTATGAACTTTCAGAGTCTTTAGAGGCTTGAGGGATGAAAACTACTGACAGTGTTTTTATTTTCTACTGCAATCCTGAAAATAAGGTTTGCACTTCTAATATTATCATTACTAACTTTTAAATGTAGGTTGACAGTACATCAGTATGATCACACTGGCTTGTGTCTTCCAGTGTGTCTTTTATACATGGAAATACTTTTTGCATAAAAGCCCTTTTGGCATTGACTTTAACAAATAATTTAGGCTCATGCTCTTCTTTTTCAGCCCTGATGCTCTGATGATGTCAGGGGCAGAGCAGAACCCTCAGGAGGGAGGCAGGGTTGACACAGTGTTCCAGCAGGAGGCTAGGTTGGAACACTGCATCAGGTAAGAGTAAAACTACACCCCTGCCTCCATAAGGATACAGTCTTAAAGACTAATTTTTGTGGGCGGGCATGAAGCTCTTTGTTGGAGTATTTATACAGAGCCAAGTTCAAGGAGGTGCAGTTTATTTACAGACTAATGCCTCCCCTCAGGCTCGTGACTGTTAGGTTCTAGAACATAGGTAATTTGCTCTTTTTCTATGGCAGTTTGTTGTTCTGTGTAGGAAGTAGGAAAGAAGGAAGTTATTCCAGAGATAATTTTTGGATTTTCTATGATGGTGATTTTTTTAAAACTTTTTAGTCTTAGGACTCCTTTTACATTCTTAAAAATTTTTGTGAACCTTCAACAGCCTTTGTTATGTAATTTAGATCTATCAATAGTTACCCTATTAGAAATTAAAATTGATAATTTTTTTTAAATAGTCATTACTTTATTTTAAAATAACAGTAATAAACCCCTTACATAATAGCATAGGTATTTTTAGGAAAAAACTGTTTTCTCCAAAATAAAAAATCTCTGAAGAGTGGCATTGTTTTCCATTTTTGCAAATCTCTTTACTATCTGGTTGAATAGATGACAGCCAGATTCTCATCCAGCTGCATTCTGCATTCATTCTGATGGGTGTGTTACTGTATTTGAGGTACATCGGGGTCAGCACACTAAGCCCTGAGGCCAGATCCAGCCTGCTGTTTTTGTATAGCAAACAGTGGCTTTTTTTTTTTAATCATTGGTGGGGAAAAAGAATATAATATTTTATCACACATGAAAATTATGTGAAATTCAAATTTCAGCATCATAAATAAAATTTTATTGGAACACAGCCAAGCCCATTCCTTTTTGAAATACTTACAGCTGCTTTTGCCCCACAAGCAGCAGGGTTGAATAGTTGCAAAATGTGTTGCCAGGGGTAAAATTTAATAAAATTAATAATTTTTACCGCTTAATTGTGAACATTCTTCAGTGAAATTGCCATGCATATTTTTGATTGATTTATTCTCACTTGCTTTAACTGGAATGTGTGGCGGTGAGGAATACAGTGACTACTAGTATATTTAGGTGCCACTGCCTTGGTTCCTGCCAATAAGCTAGCAGTTTTACCCACCATTCCTTTTGCGCCATCAGTGTAAATGCCAACACAGGGAAAAAAGCATTATTACTATTACAAAAATTATTTTGACCTTTCAGACCCGCTGACAGAGTCGTGGCAGTTCCCTAGAGTCCTTGGTTCGCAGTTTAAGAACTGCTACTCTGGGCAAATAACTGTAGTGGAATGATTATGAAATGTAATTGTTTGAGTGAATTAACATTTCAGTTCTCCAGCCTCAAGGGGCTGGACTCAGTACAGCTTTGTACCAGTGAATCAGAGAAGTACCCAGAATCCATCCCAAACCATAACTGCCCTGCACTGGGGAGGGTGTGTACAGGCTGGCCTTAAATTTGTTAGTAGAAGACTGACATGAGAACAGAGGTCTAGACTGTCAATCAGAGCCCCAGGTTGCTATAAGGTGACATTTGAAACTTAAGTAATAGAGTATGACTTTTAAATAGATTCTTTTGAAAATTAGACATCCTATAGTTAATACTATTTTTATTCTATTTCTCTTTTCTTTAATACTGCTTCGGGGGAATCTGTTAAACACACTTCTTCATTCATCATCCTTCTGACAGTTTCACTTCCAGTAAACTGTCAAATCTATAGCCATTATCCTCCTTTCCTTAACTCCTTTCCCTTTGTTACCATAGGGGGAAAAGTCCATGATTTTTGTTCACACTGAAAACTACAAGTTATCCCCATGAGGAATTTGCTGCTACTATTTATCATAAGTAATTTTTAATTGGTTTTATTCCAAGAACTTTGAGATAAGAGGTATTCATAAAATGTTATCTGAAGCATTTCTGCCTTTTATTGTTTCTTTACCACTCTTGACACTTTTATTGAATAAGGAGTAGAATTAAGAAATAGCAAATAATACCTGATCTTAGAAAACAGAAATTTATCAAAATATGATGCTGGACCACAAATTAGAACTTGCGGTGTGATCTGACTATAAAGAAGTAATGTCAGGCTGAGTAAAAGGGAAGTATTTTAAGATGGACATGTAGCAATAGGATAAAGAAAAATTCTGAGAATTTTTCAAAATATCAAGTTAATTTTAGTTTTAGGAAAATACCAGTCAAGGAGAACAAGTTTAAATGAAAAAGAACACAAAAAGTAACTCATTCAATAAATATTTGAGTGCCTAGTATGTATTAGGTCCTATTTTAGGCACTAAAATGTAAAGGATTTACTTATGAATATATTGGAAGGTTAAAGCCTATGTATTGCTAAGTTATTATATGGCTGTCTATATAGGAATCTGAAGTATAGTACTAACAATTAATGGCAAATGTCCTTCTTTCTGATGGAGAAACTCAGGCATGCTATTTTATTTATTCAACTTGCCCATGGTCAAACAATGAGATAATGAGAGATATTAGAATCATATAGGGGGTAATTAGAATCATATTGGGGTAATTAGGTTTATTTATTTATATCTATTTACTTATTTTTAACAGAAGTACTGGGGATTGAACCCAGGACCTCGTGCATGCTAAGCACGCACTCTGCCCTCCCCACCTAGAATCACATTTTTGATTCAGATTCTAAACAGGTTACTCCCCATTAATTAGGCAATTAATGTGATTTTCATAATAAGACTATATTCAAAGCCGTGCAAAACTTTGGAAGATTGGATTGGGAGTTTAGTTACCACTGAAATTCCTTCTGTTTTTAAATTACAATTTAAGAGAGAGTTTAAATGAGACCTTAACTAATTAAAAGTAAAATATGATACCACATAAAGCTTTAAAAGCTACTTTGAAGTCGTGTCATGGATTTGCAGCTCTCTCAGTTAAGTCCGTAAATGGTAGTGAACATAACGGTGAAAGTGTGCCTTGTGGCTCAGTGACTTGGCTTTTTGCCCGTGCCTGGGCTGCCTCTCCTTTACCGTATGCCTTGCAAATATATGCTGCTTCTTGGAAACAAAGAAGACTTTTTAGAGGAAATACGAGTAAATTAGTATAAATCAGCAGTTCCCAGAGTATATGCCAAGAGAATATTGAGGGATTTTTTAATCTGATAAAAAATGGTTTTTGTTTGGGAAGAACTGATTTAAATAGTTTATTTGCTCTGGGACATTACAAGTCTTTGATATACCAGTATGCATGGGAGCACTCCAACAGGGAATTATAGCATCCACATATTTATTGGAAGGGAAAACCTAATTTTGAAAAATACCTTACTAATATTCCGTGGAATACACTTTGGGAACTGGTACAAATCCATCCCTATTAGAAAAAGATCGAAAGCATGTGCCCTACTGCATTGTTATGTACAACACTCTTTTTCTATTTATTTCTAACTAGATTTTATTTTTATGGAAAACTGATATCAGGTAGATAGTAAGTCGTAGGAGTAAGTATTCCCTGTCTATCTGGTTGTTAGAATATAACTACCTGTGAAAATCTTCTATTAGATTTCTTTTTTTAATGAGTAAGTATTCCTAAAGTAAAATATATTTATAGAGAATTTCTCTATTTTTAAATTGCAGACGTTGGGGATCAGCCAGGTGAGGTAGGTTATTCAGGCTCTCCTGCAGAGCACCTCCAAGCAAGTCACCATCCATGCCGTCACTAAACCAGACTTGGCCTGAGCTGAATCAGAGCAGTGAGGTTAGCAAAGCTTGCCTTTTCTTTCACTAACATTAACTTTTTTAAGGTAAGAAGTTTCAAGCAGAGAAATTTTAGCATATAGTTCTTGCAGCATGCATGCCTGGTTGAGGGACCATATCAAATGTGATTATGGTAGATGTTTGTAATGCTGTAACTCTTGGAGGTTTTCAAAGTACTTCTTCGTGTATCATGTAGTTTCCACCACTCCTCCCTACTAAAACCCTGTGAGTTAGAGGGGGCAGATGCGTGAACTTACCAGTCAAAAGGATGAATGTCTTGGACAAATATCTCATAGCCAGAAAGGGCCAAAGGCTGAGATTTGAACACAGATCCTTTGACATTCAGTCATCTAGCACACTCACTGTATCACACTGCCTTCTCATCCCTGTAAACGAGGCCTGGGATGACACATTTGTAATATTAGTATTGGAAATGATATGAGAAGCCAGTAAACCAACCTAGCACACGAAAAAAGTATTTTCTACAGCCCAGGCTATTCATAATAATTTATTTTATTTATTATAAAATGGAATGATTTAACTCTATTAAATGCAGTGGTTAAAGACCACTTTATATAAAGACTACGTTATACGAGACTAAGCACAGCATGTAAAACAGAATTTGAGACAAACGCATTCCCCCTCCCTCCACTACTTTGCAACTCCATTATATAAAACAATAAAAGTAGAGCCACTGTGATTAGAGTAAGGGAAGTGGTCCTGCCTCCCCAAAGCACCCCTAAGGGCCTTCTGTAAACCTCAGTGATCTGTAGAACTCCAGTTGAAAACCACTGCTCAGCCTGTTAGAGCAGTTTTCTTTGTGAACAAGTTACTTTCTTTTCTTAGAGTTTTTTTGTATCACAGATAGTGCTACAAATGTAAATGTTGACTTTCAGGGAAAAACTCAGCTCTGTTCTTTCCATGTCTTTTAAAGCTGGAAAAGGACAGGGCTTAGGAGACACTAGTTAATTTTGGACAGTGCAAAACAGAGAAGTAACTGGCGAGTTTAAAGTACTTGCTGCTGCTTTATGACATAATCACAGGTACCTTATATAGACATTATAACATACCATCCGTCATGCTGTCGGATATAAAACCGTTCATAATAAGTGTTTTTCTGTAGGGAAGATACATGCCTTGAAAGAATTTACTAGTAGAAAGTAGTAGAGAATAAGGTCAGTGTTCTTGAAACCACTGTTTTTACTGCATTTATTCATTTCTGTCACTTTTAAAAAGCAGTATCAGATTAAAAGACTATTTTTATTGATAGCAGTTTATAAATAAAAGCAACTCGTTCGTCTCAATTCTAAAGCCCATCTTCTAAATGAAATCACATGTGATCATTAAAGACTAGGAATGGAAATCCCTTTCAAATCTGATTTAAGCAGTTACATTTTCCTTAAATATTCCTAGCAAGTTTCATTTTGTAGTATTTGCTAATAAAGGACATGGATGTCATAATTTTTTTTTTACTGTGTGGGAAGTCAGTGTTACTAAAACTAACATTGAATTTTGACATATTTTAATATTTATTTATAAAAATCTACTTAGAATATGAAATTTGTATTTAAATTCTCTACCTCAAAGCACTAATACTTTTTCAGCAGATGTTTATTCAGCACTTGCAAATATGGATGAGGCACTGTAGGGGCTAACAATAACAATATCACTAATAATAATAGCTAACACTTAATTGAGTGCTTTTGATGTGCCAGTTCTGTCCAAAAAGCTCTTTACGTACATTAACTCTTCATATCCTCATGGCAATACTATGACATAGGTATTACTAAGCTAATGTTACAGATGGTGAAATTGGAACACAGCAAGTTTAGGTGACTTGCCTAAGGGTGCACAGCGCAACTAGGATTTTAGTAGTCTCGTTCCTTAACCCTTACACCAAAGTTACAAAGATAAAGAGTATTTCTCTGCTCTCCATGTAGCTTACATACAGTCTTGTAAAACCAAGTAAAATCTCATTCATGCCACCAAATAAGTAAATAAATATCTTCTTTTTTGGAAAAACATATTCTCCATCTAAACTTTCCTCCATAGTTAGATAATTAGGATTTTAAAAATTCCTTCTGTACATATGCAACAATAATTATTGAAGAAACTAATTACATTAATAAATATTGGTAAGTCACTTTCCTGAAGTGATGTCCCATGATAAAAGTGGATTATTGTGCATTTTCCATGTTCAGGAAACACTTTGAATGTATCACTATTTCTTAGTATATCTTAATTTTCACGATTTTAAAACTAATGTAGGGAAAGCTGTTGAATGATTGCATTGGCCAATTTCATAGATAATTTTTTATCGATGTGTTCATTTGCTGATATTTAATTTCTACCTGCCATTTCAAATTGAATATCACTATTTGAAATAGTAAGTCGAACTTTGAAGCATAAAAATGTGTACTTTCCCAAGCTGAATTATAAAAAGAGGATTTTGGTCAATGGAGTAGATGTGTCTGTGTGTAAACATCCGTGTGTATATATTGTATATGTGCAGATGTTTTTCCTTCTTCAGAGTATAACTGATAATTCTTAAGAATCAAATTATGATGATAATTTTAATACAATTCTGATATAAAAATTCTGTACTATTTATTACTAAGATTTTCAAATGGAATTTACTAAAATTAATAATCACTTGTCACTCCACCTAGATTGAGGTATGATATTTGTGTACCTCTTTTAGAAGAGTAGTATTTCATATCAAAATATGTATTCTATATATAACACATACTCAGTTGCTTGATTTGCTCTCATTTTGGCCGCATTCTGATTTTTCTAGCATGGGGTTGGAGGCGGGTGCCTGATTGGCAGTTCTGTTGTGGTCTGGCATGGCCCTGTTCGTAATGCTGATTGCAGGGGTTGACTTGCTACAGATTGACATAAGCTCAAACATATATTAATTCCAGAATTCTCTGCATTTTTTTCTCAATTATATTTTATTAAATATCTGTACATACGTATAAAATATGTGCACGTACATAGTAGAATCATCTTTCAGGGGTCGCACTGGCAAGTCTCACTGACTTACTTTGTTTTGACCAAAGCTGGTACTCAAGACTCATTAGCATCACCGAACCAGTGCATTAACGTTTGAATTTTAAAAGAAGGATTTGAAGTTACTCTTTCTCTAGTCAAGACAAAGCCCTTTATATTTTTATTTTGTCATCATTTATACCACTTAAACTCTTATTCCTTTATTGTGTTTTGAGTTTGAATTCTGTAAGGCTTTGAATCTCTTCCATAGAGATTTCAGTAAATTGTTACTGTACATTTGATTGTGAAGCTGCTCATTTTACGTTATAAGATGACCCAGCACAGATAAGTATAAAATGTTTATGGAAGAAAAGAACTTAGGAATTTTGTCAGGCCTATGAAACACAACTTGCAGTGCAACCTCTGAATTACTTTGCTAAATCTTCTCCAGTGATCTTTTACTCCATCTTTCTCATCATGCTGACTTGTCTCTCCTCTGTCTGTTCAGCAGTGGGAGACATTTAGTGAACGCTCTTCAAGCTCACAAACTCTGACCCAATTTGATTCTAACATTGCACCAGCTGATCCTGTAAGTCAATCACTTAGCTTGCTTGTTTGAAATTAATTTTATTAACCCAAATTTCCATTCATTATGGTTTTTAGCTGATATGCATGATTCAGTGGAGTGCTTAGAGGAAAATGGTGGCAGGCTTTTCAATTTTTGTGTGCTTAATGGTGGAAAGAACTTTTTTTTAACCATTCGTATTTTCTAGTTATTTTAGTGAGAGAGAACTGTATGTTTTTAAAATCTGGTACATGTGTGTAAAGAAGCATTTTGTGACAGTTTAGTTGACTTGTTTTCATCTGCTAATTGAATGTATGTTTTATTAAACACATACTGCTATCAGTGTAATGACACTTAGTTACTATTTTATTTGTATGCCTACACATCATGTAGTATGTACTGTGTATGTAAATATACAGTGTCATCTTTTATTGTAACAGTCCAGATAGTATAGCTTTAATTTAATTAGTATGTTGAATTCTGTTGTGAGACTCAAGTTTAGTAAAACAATGCAGAGTTACTGGTCAAAGATTCCCATTGTGCAGGAGAGCCTCTGTCTTGTCTTCCTGTGGTTCACTGTGTTGCTTTGAAAATGCTACAAAGTTCACATCCTGATTTAAAAAATAAATTCTATCCCCATAGATTTAACTTCATATATGCTCCACCTGCCCCTCAAGTTATTTGAGACCTTCAAAACCTTAGCTGTTAATCATTCTTCTCACTGTTCACTCCTGCTTTTTCTTTTATTTTTTTTTCCGCTTTTTAAGAGAGGGACTTGCTCATAAGAACCTTTCAAAAGGGAAAGAGGAAGTAAGTAGGAAGGGGAGAAGAGTGTAAAGGTAGGATTTTTTTAAATGAGTTCAGTGGAAAGATGTGGAGAAATTGACAAGAGGCACTCAAAGACAGCCAGCATTTATTAATTAAATGTAAAAATAGCCTTGTTATTTAATGTGGATTTGGGAGAAGTGGTATTTAAAGATAAAGACATCTTCAACATTTTAAGTTAATGGATTTTTGGGTGTGTTTTATAATTTTAAAGAATTTATATCTATTTGAAGTAGAATGCTATTAGACTAAATTCAAGCAGATAATGTATTTAAGTGTTTTAAGTATTTACTTCATAATATATTAATTATTCAGAGACCAATTAATAGGTAGCTTATCTGTGCCTTTGGCCTCTCTTACTACTTTGAGGACATTAATCTTTGATTTTCATCTCTGAAAAACAGAGGAGAAATAGAAAGGCAACACTTAATTTTTGCTGCTTATTAGCAGCTATAATTAAAGTGTCTTGGGAAGTGATAGTTGCTATAAGCTAAAAGAAAGTTTTAGGCCTGAGTTTCATTTCTCCATATTATTCTTATCTTCTACTTATGCAGTCAAGTTAATTTTGTTTAAAGTACTTTATAGGGAAGGGGATAGCAATAAAGAGACTCTTTTACTCTCTAATCCTTAACAGATACTGAACATAACAATTCATTATGGTTATGATTTTTTGTCAGGCCAAGAAAGAACGTTAAATATAAAAATTTGGAACTCAGAGACAAAATAAATTGACTCATGACAGACAGGAAATTCAGAGAAATAGTTGACTTAATAACAGCAATGTTCTAGTAAGTTCTTGGAAATAATACCCAGATTTGTTAATTTCATCTCTCGTGTTTTAGATGTTATGGTTCAATACTTTTATTTCCAGTGTGGCAGGAGGCTCTAGGAAAAAAAATTAAAAATGGTTAATTGACATTCTAAACTTGAATTTAGACATGTAAATTTGATGAAGTTGGGAGTCTTAAATAGTTATAATCTGGTACCTAGATACATCTTTTTTTCTTTTATGGTGGCAAACTTAAATCTAAATTTTGTTCCCAAACTAGTAATCTCACTTTAAACTTTCAATTAGTAGAATGCCCTGTTCCCACAGAGGGTCTTCTTAACCTTCATATAATTCTTACCTGACCTTTTGCCTATCTATAGAACACAGCCTGTAGCCACAATCCCAAATGACCCTTTGCAAGGCTTATATAAATAGAGATTATAAATAAGTAAGGTCCATTCAGATTAGAAGAGAATCACACAGGAGAAAAAGAACACTATAGTTCTGGTACGTGTGTAGAAATACTTACTGGAATAATTTTTAAAAGCTAAAATTTGATAATTAGATATTTGCTTAATAAAATTTAAGTCTTTGAAAGCTCCAGACTATTCTGTAGCACTTAAAGACAGCTATCAACAGTGCAGTGACCTCACATGCAAACTGAGATGGTTAATTACTAGGCTTCCAGAATTGTTATGAAATTGAGTTCCTGATATCTCATTGCCAGAAACTTTTACTTTTTTAAAACTGCTTATCAGTTAATAGCTTCTGATGAATCTGTTTCTGCTAGGATAGTCTAGACTTATGAGAAGTGCAGTGCACTAGTCTTTGCCATGATTTAGGTCTGATCTTTAGTGCTGCAGAATGTCTGAGTGTGAGAAGGGAATTAG